GCTGGTCATGGGGGACCTAAATCACGGAGAGATAGATTGGGAAACGAGGAATCCCCATGGCGGGGAGGAGACCTGGGGAGCGAAGCTGGTAGACGTTATTGACAGGAATTTCCTAACACAGCATGTGAAGGAAGATACTAGGGAAAGAGGAGGGGATATGCCCAGCCTATTAGATCTCATTTTCACCCAGAATGTAGAAGACATCGAGCAGTTGGAACATGAAATACCACTAGGAGCCAGTGACCATTGTGTCCAAGTCTTTGACTACATGATGGAGCGTAAAATTGTGACCAAAGGACAAGAGGTCCGGGAAAGGAGACTTGACTACAGAAAAGGGGACTACAGAAGGATAAGAGACTACCTGGGAGAAGTGCAGTGGGAGGAAGAACTTAGAGGAAAATCAGTGCAAGGTATGATGAACCAAGTCATATTGAAATGCAAGGAGGCTGAAGAGAGATTTGTTCCAACAATAAAGGAAAAAAAGCAGGGGGGAATATAATAACCCATGGTTTAATAGACAGTGTCAGGAAGCAAAGGTGAGAAGCAGGAGGTAGTGGAGGAAGTACAGAAGACAAAGGACAGAGGACAACAGAATTAGATGTAACAGAGCTAGGAATGATTACATTAACATAAGACGAGTGTCGGAAAGAAATTATGAGAATGATATTGCAATCAAAGCGAAAAAGCAACCTAAATTACTACATAGCCATATAAGAAGGAAGATGTCGGTAAATGACCAAGTGACAAGACTGAGGAAAACAGAAGGGGCATATACAGAAAGCGACAAGGAAATCTGCGAGGTACTGAATGCAAGTTTCCATGGAGTGTTCACAACCGAGCCTGAGCAGCTCCCATTGTTAGAAGCGATTACCCTAGATGAAAGACTATCAGATATAGAGGTGACAGCAGAGGAGGTAATGAAACAGTTGACAACACTGGATGCAAATAAAGCTGTTGGACCAGACAAAGTATCACCGTGGATACTAAAAGAGGCAGCGCAGGCTCTCGGCATGCCGTTGGCAATGAATGATCTGTAATGAGTCACTTATGTCGAGAGAATTGCCCAGTTGCTAGAAGGAGGCAAATGTCGTGCCGAATTTCAAAAAGGTGATAGGGAGGAGGCACTTAACTACAGACCCGTATCACTGACAAGCATCCCCTGCAAAATACTTGAAAGAATAATTAGGCTAAGACTTGTTGAGCACCTGAAGAGCATTGGGTTTGTAAACAAGCACCAACATGGGTTCTGGACAGGGAAATCATGCCTAACAAACCTTTTAGAATTCTATGATAAAGTAACAAGGATAAGGCAGGATAGAGAAGGCTGGGCAGACTGCATATTTCTTGACTGCCAAAAGGCCTTTGATACAGTACCGCACATGAGACTGCTATACAAACTTGAGAGGCAGGCAGGAGTAAGCGGAAAGGCCCTAGCATGGGTGAAGAACTACCTAACAGGAAGGAGCCAGAGGGTAATGGTAAGGGGTGAGAAGTCGGACTGGCGAACAGTAACAAGTGGAGTACCTCAAAGATCGGTGCTGGGACCAATCCTCTTTCTAATTTACGTAAATGATATGTTTACAGGAGTGGAATCATACATGTCAATGTTTGCGGATGACGCAAAATTAATGAGAAGAGTTGTGACAGATGAGGATTGTAGGATCCTCCAAGAGGACTTAAACAGGTTGCAGAGATGGTCAGGGAAATGGCTACTGGAGTTCAACACCAGTAAATGTAAAGTTATGGAAATGGGATCAGGGGATAGGAGACCAAAGGAACAGTTCACAATGAAGGGGAACTGCCTACCTGTAACGATTCGAGAAAGAGACCTGGGAGTGGATGTGACACCTAATCTAACTCCTGAGGCACATATAAATAGGATAACGACAGCAGCGTACTCTACACTGGCGAAAATTAGAACTTCATTCAGAAACCTAAATGAGGAGGCTATTAGGGCGCTTTACACTGCCTACGTGAGACCCGTCTTAGAGTATGCCGTGCCATCATGGAGCCCCCACCTGAAGAAACACATAAGGAAACTGGAGAAGGTTCAGAGGTTTGCGACGAGGCTTGTCCCAGAGTTACGTGGGATGGGATGTGAAGAGCGTATGAACCTTACGACACTAGAGAAAAGAAGGGAGAGAGGAGATATGATAGGGACATATAAAATACTCAGGGGAATTGACCAAGTGGAAATAGATGAAATGTTCACACGTAATAATAACAGAACGAGGGGACATGGGTGGAAACTGGAAACTCAGATGAGTCACAGAGATGTTAGGAAGTTTTCTTTTAGCGTGAGAGTAGTAGAAAAATGGAATGCACTTGGGGAACAGGTTGTGGAAGCAAATACTATTCATACTTTTAAAACTAGGTATGATAGGGAAATGGGACAGGAGTCATTGCTGTAAACAACCGATAGCTAGAAAGGCGGGATCCAAGAGTCCAATGCTCGATCCTGCAAGCACATAGGTGAGTACATATAGGTGAGTACACACACACACACACACACACACACACACACACACACACACACACATACACACACACACACACACACACACACACACACACACACACACACACACACACACACACACACACACACATCCACACCCACACACACATCCACACCCACACACACATCCACACCCACACACACATCCACACCCACACACACATCCACACCCACACACACATCCACACCCACACACACACACACACACACACACACACACACACACACACACACACACACACACACACACACACACACACACACACACACACACACACACACACACACACACACACACACACACACACACACACACACACACACACACACACACATACACACACACACACACACACACACACACACACACACACACACACACACACACACACACACACACACACACACACACACACACACACACACACACACACACACACACACACACACACACACACACACACACACACACACACCACACACACACACACACACACACACACACACACACACACACACACACACACACACACACACACACACACACACACACACACACACACACACACACACACACACACACACACACACACACACACACACACACACACACACACACACACACACACACACACACACACACACACACACACACACACACACACACACACACACACACACACACACACACACACACATGGGGGCCTCGTAGCCTGGTGGATAGCGCGCAGGACTCGTAATTCTGTTGCGCGGGTTCGATTCCCGCACGAGGCAGAAACAAATGGGCAAAGTTTCTTTCACCCTAAGTGCCCCTGTTACCTAGCAGTAAATAGGTACCTGGGAGTTAGTCAGCTGTCACGGGCTGCTTCCTGGGGTGTGTGTGTGTGTGTGTGGTGTGGAAAAAAAAAGTAGTTAGTAAACAGTTGATTGACAGTTGAGAGGCGGGCCGAAAGAGCAAAGCTCAACCCCCGTAAAAACACAACTAGTAAACACACAACTAGTAAACACACACACACACACAGATAGAAAACTGTCCCCTGAAGACCACATTAAGATCATTGTGATAGGAGCCTATGCTTCACTTTTTACTTCAGAATTGCTTTCAAATACATGGATGGCAATATGCTAAAGAAATTGTTCACGACTTTTGTTAGGCCAAAGCTAGAATATGCAGCTGTTGTGTGGTGCCCATATCTTAAGAAGCACATCAACAAACTGGAAAAGGTGCAAAGACATGCTACTAAGTGGCTCCCAGAACTGAAGGGCAAGAGCTACGAGGAGAGGTTAGAGGCATTAAATATGCCAAAACTAGAAGACAAGAAAAAGAGGTGATATGATCACTACATACAAAATAGTAACAGGAATTGATAAAATCGATAGGGAAGATTTCCCGAGACCTGGAACTTTAAGAACAAGAGGTCATAGATTTAAACTAGCTAAACACAGATGCCGAAGTAATATAAGAAAATTCACTTTCGCAAACAGAGTGGTAGACGGTTGGAACAAGTTAGGTGAAAAGGTGGTAGAGGCCAGGACCGTCAGTAGTTTCAAAACGTTATATGACAAAGAGTGCTGGGAAGACGGGACACCACGAGCGTAGCTCTCATCCTGTAACTACACTTAGGTAATTACACTTAGGTAATTACACACACACATACACACACACACACATGAGTGTTTGTTATACTTGGGAAGTGTGGTCATGTTGGTGTGGTCATGTTGATGTGGTCATGTTGATGTGGTCATGTTGGTGTGGTCATGTTGGTGTGGTCATGTTGGTGTGGTCATGTTGGTGTGGTCATGTTGGTGTGGTCATGTTGGTGTGGTCATGTTGGTGTGGTCATGTTGGTGTGGTCATGTTGGTGTGGTCATGTTGGTGTGGTCATGTTGGTGTGGTCATGTTGGTGTGGTCATGTTGGTGTGGTCATGTTGGTGTGGTCATGTTGGTGTGGTCATGTTGGTGTGGTCATGTTGGTGTGGTCATGTTGGTGTGGTCATGTTGGTGTGGTCATGTTGATGTGGTCATGTTAGTGTGGTCATGTTGGTGTGGTCATGTTGATGTGGTCATGTTAGTGTGGTCATGTTGGTGTGGTCATGTTGGTGTGGTCATGTTGATGTGGTTATGTTGGTGTGGTCATGTTGGTGTGGTCATGTTGGTGTGGTCATGTTGGTGTGGTCATGTTGATGTGGTCATGTTGGTGTGGTCATGTTGGTGTGGTCATGTTGATGTGGTCATGTTGGTGTGGTCATGTTGGTGTGGTCATGTTGATGTGGTCATGTTGGTGTGGCAATGTTAGCGTGTCCTTGCAGGTGTGGTCATCTTGGCGTGCCCATGCAGGTGTGGCCGCGTTGGTGTGGTTATCTTCATGTAGCTCCATCTGTCACTATTTTACCAGCCATGTTACAAGGGTAAGATAATAGATTAGGGAATTACGATTACTGATTTCTCTGCCAATGTTCTAGGAAAATATATATAACTCACTTGTCATTATGCTCTCTAGAGTGGTTATGTATCCTCCGTCGTTCATCCAACACCTGTTTCCTGATCTCTCTTAAAGACTGTATCAAGTGTGTCGTGTCGAGCCCACGGCAGGTGACCGCTGTGTCATGGGTGCGCAGCGAACACCCGCCGCCAGGCTCCAAGACCGCGGAGGACGCGGGCGCTGCGGCCTGAGCGCAGGCAAGGCGCAGTGTTGTGGAAGCAGCGATGATGGTTAAGAAGAGTGGTAGTTGTGTCGTTAGTATCATCCTGGCGTAGTCCTGCAGCCTCACTCATCACCCTGTAGGCAGGGAGAAAATATCAGAGGAATAAAATCTTGTGGAAGATGTCATTAGTTCTCCCTTCTCCCGTCAACAGTTTTAAAGGATATCATCTTGAGGCTATCTTGAGATGATTTCGGGACTTTTTAGTGTCCCCGCGGCCCGGTCCTCGACCAGGCCTCCACCCCCAGGAAGCAGCCCGTGACAGCTGACTAACACCCAGGTACCTATTTTACTGCTAGGTAACAGGGGCATAGGGTGAAAGAAACTCTGCCCATTGTTTCTCGCCGGCGCCTGGGATCGAACCCAGGTCCACAGGATCACAAGTCCAGCGTGCTGTCCGCTCGGCCGACCGGCTCCCTCAGTTAAAATCAGAGCCAAATTAAGTACATATGGAACAAGAACATAACACATGAATACCGAATGTCTGGAGGAGCATTAGGAATGTCTGGAGGAGCATTAGGAATGTCTGGAGGAGCATTAGGAATGTCTGGAGGAGCATTAGGAATGTCTGGAGGAGCATTAGGAATGTCTGGAGGAGCATTAGGAATGTCTGGAGGAGCATTAGGAATTTCTTCAGGAGCATTAGGAATGTCTGGAGGAGCATTAGGAATGTCTGGAGGAGCATTAGGAATGTCTGGAGGAGCATTAGGAATGTCTGGAGGAGCATTAGGAATGTCTGGAGGAGCATTAGGAATGTCTGGAGGAGCATTAGGAATGTCTGGAGGAGCATTAGGAATGTCTGGAGGAGCATTAGGAATGTCTGGAGGAGCATTAGGAATGTCTGGAGGAGCATTAGGAATGTCTGGAGGAGCATTAGGAATGTCTGGAGGAGCATTAGGAATGTCTGGAGGAGCATTAGGAATGTCTGGAGGAGCATTAGGAATGTCTGGAGGAGCATTAGGAATGTCTGGAGGAGCATTAGGAATGTCTGGAGGAGCATTAGGAATGTCTGGAGGAGCATTAGGAATGTCTGGAGGAGCATTAGGAATGTCTGGAGGAGCATTAGGAATTTCTTCAGGAGCATTAGGAATGTCTGGAGGAGCATTAGGAATGTCTGGAGGAGCATTAGGAATGTCTGGAGGAGCATTAGGAATGTCTGGAGGAGCATTAGGAATGTCTGGAGGAGCATTAGGAATGTCTGGAGGAGCATTAGGAATGTCTGGAGGAGCATTAGGAATGTCTGGAGGAGCATTAGGAATGTCTGGAGGAGCATTAGGAATGTCTGGAGGAGCATTAGGAATGTCTGGAGGAGCATTAGGAATGTCTGGAGGAGCATTAGGAATGTCTGGAGGAGCATTAGGAATGTCTGGAGGAGCATTAGGAAAAAGGAATAATATCTAAAATATAAAGTCAGTGAATTTCAGTTTAACTTTTTTAACGCTATATAAACTGCTGAAAATTATCGTTCAAAATAGAATTGCTGCAATAAGAGTTAAAGAAAAATCCCTATCAGGAAAGACCTAAAGACTTTATTTGTGATGGTAAAATCTTTGGAGCAGGACGGTGGGATCGAAATAGCGTTCTGCTCCATAGATTTTCTCATAGTCATATCAGGTTATTGTGATTTCAAAGTGATTTAATTTTTGATAATAAAAGAGTATCCGCGAGGATGTTACTGAATGTAACATCTTCATAGTATGAAGAAACGTTAGGCCAATTGACATGGGTACAACACGACCGCAGTTGTATTCCGTATTCCAGTTGTATGCTTCAGTATTCCGACCACTCTCAACTTAAGACATTGCTTCAGTATTCCGACCACTCTCAACTTAAGACCACAAGTAATCCAACTTGGGCAGCCGTAAGAAGTCCTGGTTGATTTAATGACATGAGAGAAAGCATGATATTGCAATGTGACGAAATTCAATTTTAAGTTTATTTGATCTGAGGCGAAGACGAGACCGTCGTCAAATATGGCGGAGTAAACCGAGAGGGAAGCGAGAGCCCCAGTGCATTCTGGGAACGGCGCCAGTCGTGGCGTGATTGGCCGGCGACGGGGGCTTGGTCTCGTTGACCAATAGCATGGCGCCATGAGCCGCAACGTAGCATGACGTCAGGCGCCCCTCCAGCGGAGGCGGGAAATTTGGGGTATTTGCTACCATGTGCCAAGGTAAGCGGATCAGCGCTCGAGGATATGACCATTCTGGAGAGGTATAGGCCTCCAGAGTGGTCGAATTCTAGCAGCAAACGTACTCACCTAGTTGTGTTTGTGTGGGTTGAGCCTTAGCTCTTTGGTCCCGCCTCTCAACCATCAATCTATTGGTGTACTGATTCCTGACTTTCTCAAGCTCTATCATATCTATATTTGAAACTATGTATGGAGCCAGCCTCCACCACATCACTTCCTAGTGCATTCTATTTACTAACTACTCTGACGCTGCAACCCATCCTCCGAATTGACAGTACAGTTTAATACTAAGTGTAATAAGTACATTTCCTTACTGTCATACAAAGTACATAATTGCACTTATGGGGCCGTTACATTTACCTACCTATTTATTCTCCTCGTTTTCTGTTAAGACTCTCAGAATTTTAGGATGAAGTTGGGGCTGTGAAGTTTTCCAGTTCCATTTGCTATACAAAAGTTTTGAATATCAGAAATTTCATTTTCAGTTTTATTAAACAATAGATATTTTATACAAAATTTGAAAATATTCTGAGTTATTTTACAACTTATTGATATATATTAGTTTTGTTTAATAAGTTTTATAAAACTGTAATATCAATATAGCTATAGGTTAAGTACTAATTGTAATTAAGAAGCAATAAAATGCTTATCTTCAAACTCTGAGAGGTAGATCGGTCGGCCGAGCGGACAGCACTTGGGACTTGTGATTCTGTGGTCCTGGGTTCGCTCCCAGGCGCCGGTTAGAAACAATGGGCAGAGTTTCTTTCACCCTATGCCCCTGTTACCTAGCAGTAAATTAGGTACCTGGGTGTTAGTCAGCTGTCACGGGCTGCTTCCTAGAGGTGGAGGCCTGGTCGAGGACCAGGCCGCGGGGACACTAAAAGCCCCGAAATCATCTCAAGATAACCTCTCAAGATAGGTTAGGTCGTGGTTTTCTATTCAGCTTTTCAGGTAAACTCAAATATTGACAATATATTTGACAGTACGGTTTAATATTAGGTGAAAATAAATACAATTCCTGGCTGCTATGAAAAGTACATAAGTGCACTTACATGTGCTGTTACAATTACCTTCTCAGTTTTAGAGGACGAGCTGGGAACTGATAAAGTTCTTTCTAATGTCTCTGTGACTCTGCATGTCCCCTGGAGCGTGTACCACCCGTGTTAACTAATCCATCCTTGTCTATCCTGTAAATTCCCTTGAGAATTTTGTATGTGGTGATCATGTCTCCCCGAGCTCTTATGTCTTTAAGCGACGTGAGGTGCATTTCACACAGCCTTTCCTTGTAATTCATGCCTCTTAGTTCTGGGGCTTGCCTAGTGGCTTACCTCTGAACTTTTCCCAGTTTTGTATTGTGTTTGACACGGTACAGGGTCCATGCTGGGGCTGCATACTCCAGGATTGGCCTTACATACGTGGTATACAATATTCTGAAAAATTCCTTACTCAGGTTTCTGAAAGCAGTTCTGATGTTAGCCAGACTCGCATACACCGCAAATATTATTCTTTTGATGTGGGCTTCAGGAGACAAGTTTGGCGTGATATCAACTCCTAGATCTTTCTCTCTGTCCGTTTCGTGAAGGACTTCATCCCTTATTCGGTATCCCGTGTCTGGCCTTCTATTTCCCCTACGTAGTTTTATTACCTTACTTTTACTTGGCTTGAATTTTAGTAACCATTTGTTTGACCATTCCTTCCGCTTGTCTAGGTCTTCTTGTAGCCTCACACTGTTTTCCTCTGTCTGAATCCTCCTTATAATCTTTGCATCATCACCAAACAATGAGGAACGAGTCTATACCTTCTGGGAGATCATTTACATATATCAGAAACATTATAAGTCCAAGGACTGATCACTGTGGGACTCCACTGGTGACGTCTCGCCACTCCGAGATCTCAGCCTTCACAGTGACTCGTTGTCTTCTGTTGCTTAGGTATTTCCTTATTCAGTGGAGTACCTTCCCTTTCACTCCTGCCTGCATCTCCAGCTTGTGCACTAGTCTCTAATGTGGTACTGTGTCAAAGACTTTCTGGCAATCCAAAAATATGCAGTCTGCCCAACTGCCCAGCCCTCTCTTTCTTGTCTGATTTCTGTTGCCTGGTCATAGTACTCAATTAATCCTGTGAGGCATAATTTGCCATCACTGAACCCATGCTCATGTTGTGTTACAAAGTTCTTTCGCTCCAGATGTTCCACAAGTTCTTTTCGCACAATCTTCTCCAATCATCTTGCATGGTATGCAAGTTAGGGACACTGGCCTGTAGTTCATTGCCTCCTGTCTATCACTCTTCTTGTATATTGGGACTACATTAGCCGACTTCCAAATTTTTGGCATTTCACCTGTTACCAGTGATTTGTTATACACTATGGAAAGTGGCATGCACAGTGTTTTTGCTCTCTCCTTCAGTGTCGATGGTGAGATTCAATCTGGGCCTATAGCCTTTGTCACTTCCAAATCTAACAGATGCTTCCTCACCTCCCCACTGGTTATCACAAACTCCTCTAGTGGTGTTTGGTTTGATGTTCCCTCCCTTATCTCTGGGACTTTCCCTTGTTCTACTGTGAAGGCCTCCTGGAATTTCTTATTGAGTTCTTCGCACACTTCCTTGTCGTTTGTAGTGAATTTATCTGCCCGTATCCTCAGTTTCATTACCTGTTCCTCCACTGTTGTTTTTCTACTGATGTGGCTGTGCAGCAATTTAGGTTGAGTCTTTGCCTTGCTCGCTATGTCATTTGTATATTGTCTTTCTGCCTCTCTTCTCACCCTGGCGTATTCATTCCTGGCGCTCTGGTATATTTTTCTGTTCCATAGTGTCATCTTATTTCTATTGTTTCCCCCACGCCCTTGTACTTAGTTGCTTTGCTAGCTTACATCTTTGATTAATCCTGCACGTCGGAAACTGAGTGAAGAAGATTGGTAGCCGTCCTGGTCCTATGTAGTTTGACCACCGTTTAGCCTGACGGCGAAGCTACATGGAGGAAATGGACCAGTACAGCGAAGAGTATTAATGCAGCTCAGTACTCACTTTCCCCTTCAAAGCAGGAGAGATTGCTGAAATAGAGGGAATACAGAGAACATATACGGCACGCATAGACGCAATAAAGCACCTAAATTATTGGGATCGTCTCAAAGCCCTCCAAATGTACTCACTAGAAAGAAGACGAGAGAGATATCAAATAATATACACCTGGAAGATACTGGAGGGCCAAGTACCAAATCTACACAGTAAAATAACAACATACTGGAGTGAACGACATGGAAGAAAATGTAGAATAGAACCAATGAAGAGCAGAGGTGCCATAGGCACAATCAGAGAACACTGTATAAACATCAGAGGTCCGCGGTTGTTCAACGTCCTCCCAGCAAGCATAAGAAATATTGCCGGAACAACCGTGGACATTTTCAAGAGGAAACTAGATTTATTCCTCCAAGGAGTGCCGGGCCAACCGGGCTGTGGTGGGTGTGTGGGCCTGCGGGCCGCTCCAAGCAACAGCCTGGTGGACCAAACTCTCACAAGTCGAGCCTGGCCTCGGGCCGGGCTTGGGGAGTAGAAGAACTCCCAGAACCCCAGAACCCCATCAACCAGGTAATGGGGTATAGGCCAGCCAACAGAAGTCACAGTCTAGCATCAGGGGAGGAACACCCCGTGAACTGCACGACGCCAGAGGAGGGGAGGAACACCCCGTGAACTGCACGACGCCAGAGGAGGGGAGGAACACCCCGTGAACCGCACGACGCCAGAGGAGGGGAGGAACACCCCGTGAACTGCACGACGCCAGAGGAGGGGAGGAACACCCCGTGAACTGCACGACGCCAGAGGAGGAGGTTGTGCGGACGGACAGCATGGAGGAAGGAGATGCTCAACGCCTCTACGCTGGAGCTTCGAGGAGTTACGAGGAGTTACAAGGAGCTACGAGGAGCTACGAGGAACTACTCAACGCGGAATCTACGACCAGCAGAATAGGTCGATGAGGGACATAAATTTGCATTCGCATTATCCTCTTGTGTTAAGAATGGTTGTCACATAAATAATGTGACAACCAGGAATTACGTGTGGAGGGACAACCGGACATAAACAGTATTATGTTATTTATGAGGTGTCAGTGATTACATCTGTGAGTTGATTAGACAGTGGTTTAAAGACTACAAACTATTGAAGTGGCGTTATAATATATGTAT